ACACCAGGTTTTTTAATACAGTCTGTGACAGAGTAAACCCAAGCCACGATAAGAAAAATAATGAAACCGGTAGTTCACACAGTCTTTAGAAAAAAAAAGAGAAAAATTCAAAAGAGGATTATTTTCAAATAGAGGAAAATCTGGTATCCATGAGCAGTTGAAAAAAGAATATCGAAAACTAGAGGTAGAAGACGAACCGATGCCGCCCACGATAAACTAATGTGACATCGTTGACACAATCACTTGCATTGCCGATCCAGTCCTTGTACATCACGTAATTATGAGCGGAATTATAATTCACCATCTCAGTCTGAGACAGATGGGTAAAAGAGTTTATGGAAAATGTTTAAAAAATAGACTCACATATTCATTTTTACCTAGAGGGACATTCTTCACAACCAAATTCTTTTGAGGCAACACCAAAACGTCACCACGGACCTTCAAATATTAATGTTGGGAACAGAACAGAAGTGAAAAGTTTCAAAATACTGGAATTGTACCTCCACGTTGAGCACCTGCCCGATCACAGTTTCAAGTTGAGGCATGCACATATGCTCCTTCTCGGGGTTGCCCGCAAATTCATTCTCGTATTTTATGACTGTTTCACCTATAGAAAAGCCACGGTCCACTACGAAAACCTTAAAAAAGATGAAATTGCTAAAATCATGAAAAGTAGCAAAAAAATTCACCTCTTCAACTAGCCTGAGTATACGACGACAAGACGGGATAGTCTCCAATTCTAGCGTTTGACAAGATACGGAACCACCATATAAAGACAAGTCGAGTTTCCTCCGGTCAACCTTGACATTGCAGGAGTTGAAGATGAGGAGGGAAAGAAAAATAGAGCGGAATTAGAATGAGGTAACAAACCTTGTGGACATGAGCTAAGCCTATTTCTCCCTTTTTGTAATACACCACAGTATCTTCTTTTGACGCTAAAGGTCGAGTATAGTCGCAACAGCGATAGATAGATTCTGAAAATGAGATTAGAAAAAGTTGGCAAACGTCAAGTCTAAACTTTCAGAATCACTAAGACAGGAACAATCTTAGCAGACGGATACGGATACTCTAGAAACATGATAGCGTTCTCTAATGGTCCAAAAATTTTCTACCATAAAACAACCCAAACTCAATGCTATGAGTGCTGAACTCAAACACAATTGACGTATTTTAAAATGCACTTTAATGCATTGCAAACTTTTGATGATTA